TCTCTCTCTCTCTCTCTCTCTCTCTCTCTCTCTCTCTCTCTCTCTCTCTCTGTCTCTCTGTCTCTCTCCCTCTCTCTCTCTCTCTCTCTCTCTCTCTCTCTCTGTGTGTGTGTGTCGTCATATTCGCTATATACAACTCCACAAAGAAAAGCATGACTGTGCGAGACTGTTCCGTCGGACTTTCACCGACTTATCAGGAGGTCGTTTGTCTGGCTGTGACCGAGATGTGTGTATATCGTCTGCCATTACCCTTGCCCTAACATCAGACCCCCCCTTCTCCTTCCCTCCCCTCCCCTCTTGCCCCTTCCATCTCTCCCATGTGCTTTGCTTTGATGATGTATCTGACAAAAATGTCTTCTTGACTTGCTCTCTTCGACATCGTGCCATGATGATTTCGCTGTTCGATACGACCACACTCTATCCACATCTACCCACAAGAAAATTGCGCCGAACCTCACAGCAGCCCCACGGGCAGCAGAGGTCTTTTCCTGAGGGTTGGTTGGCTTCAAATGAAGAAAAAAAAAAGGCATCTAAATTTATATAGGGTCCACATTCAAGTGTGCCATAGCCGGCCCACTTGTACGAGATGTGAAAATGACCCACCCAGAGTAAGAGGGGAGAGGGGATAAACACAGAGAGAAAAGATGCAAAGAAGAAGAAGAGACGAAGCAAAGGAAGACAAAAGGGGAAATTGAGGGAAATCGATCGACGAGTGTGTAACAAAGAAGACGATGAAAGCAAAGGAAGACAAAAGGGGAAATTGAGGGAAAAAGGAGATAGGAGAGGGGTCAAGAAAAAGAAAAAAAATCAGTCTGTCCTTAGCGACAGAGAGAACATACATTGTAATCAGGATGAGAGAGGGATGACCACATGGAAGACCTGCTCACCTACCTAGCTGAGCATCATTCTCAGTGCAACAATGTTTTGTCCTGATGGCTGGCACATCAGTCCTGGCAGGGACCATGGTGCCATTGTCCCGCAACTCCCAGTGGTCAGAGACATGTACAATGGCCAGGTTCATGGTCAGGTTCGTGTAAAATGCAGGCAGAGTTGGGCGATGAAGGACGAACCGACTCAGTTGCCCGAGCATTGCGTGTGGTCCCTCATTGCTACTTGAAGGACCGCGACGCAGCTAAGTTGGTCAAAAAGCCTCCTTCCTTCCCAACGGGCCTATAATTACCATCCTCTGCCTACCAATGGGCCTACGCAGATAAGTTGGTACACCCACGAACTTTTGAAATACAGACCCGAGTTCGAATCCAGAAGACGATCAGATGACGAGATTAAAATGATTCTGAAGCACCTTGGGCCGGTCAGGTCAATGATGATAACTCGAGGCCGTCGCCCTTTTCTTTTTTTTTTTTAAAGGAGGGGGGAGGGGGGGGGGGGGGAACATCCTCTGCCTGTAGGCAGGGAAGGCCGGCATCAAGCTCCTCAAGGACAATTTTGCTTGCAAGTCTGACGCTGCATATAAAGCGGGCGGTGGACAACCTAAAGATAGATATTATTAGTGGGATAGAGGCCTTGCAAGCGGGTTTTCAACAAAAAAAAAAAAAAAAAGATAGATATTATTAGTTGCAGCCAGACGACAGGTATTGAAGTAGTGGCGGCGCCAGTTCAATCACATTAGGGTTTTCTCTGGATCGAATTTGGCCATAATGGCGTTGAAACTCGAACGAAAGCCTGTCACAGCCGCTCGTTTCTAGTCCTCTTTTCCCTCTCTGCCTATATGTGTGTGTGTGTGTGTGTGTGTGAGAGAGAGAGAGAGAGAGAGAGAGAGAGAGACAGAGAGAGAGAGAGAGAGAGAGAGAGAGAGGAATCTAGCCCGTGATGCTGAATGAAGTAACTGTTAACAGCGTCCCCGTATGTAAGAGAGCCCAGCAGAGAACCACAGAGAGAGAGAGAGAGAGAGAGAGAGAGAGAGAGAGAGAGAGAGAGAGAGAGAGAGAGAGAGAGAGGAATCTAGCCCATGAGGCTGAATGGTACGTACAAGTAACTGATAATAGCGTCCCCGCATGTAAGAGAGCCCAGCAGAACCACAGAGAGAGAGAGAGAGAGAGAGAGAGAGAGAGAGAGAGAGCAGCCGGACTAGCCATCAGGCTGAATGGTTCGTACATGTAACTGTTAGTAAATAGATCATCAGTTCAAACCTTGGTGAAATCGGATGTGGATACAATAATGGTAGGGGCTAGTACCCTTTTCAAAAAAAGAAAAAAAAAGGAGAAGAGGGAGGAAGTTCAGCAAATGAAAAGAAGGGGAGAAAAGAGAAGGTTGAAAGGAAGGAAAAGAGGAGATAGAGAAGGTTGAAAGGAAGGAAAAGAAGAGATAGGTAGCCCGACAGAAGGGCACAGACTGTCTCGTCCTGTACTCGTTTAGGTAAATAGAATGAGCACCATAGCTTAGGAAGCATTCAAAGGCGGGCACCCCCTCTGGATCGAATTGGGCTGACACGGAGTTTGCAGACTGAATCTGACCGTAAATGCGGGTGAGATGCATCCGCAAAAGCCTCCAGGGCGAGTAATATGCCCAAGGCGGGCACGCCCTCTGGATCGAATTAGGCTGACAAGGAGTTTTCAGATTGAATCTGACCGTAAATGCGGGTGAGATGCATCCACAAAAGCCTCCAGGGCGAGTAATATGCCCTCAGTCTCTTCTTTCTGTCTTTCGCTTTGGATCGCCTTCCTCCATTCCGTGTGAATGTACTCACACCGGAACTGAATCTGGCCAGGATTACGGTTAGATTCAGCAAGGAAGTTCCATCCCAGTTCAAATACGCCATCAGTTCCTGGTTATATACATTGTTGTACAATCGTACCTGATACCTTTGATTCCACTTCTTTTGATTTATTTATTTCGGTATTTCACACTAATCTTCTGTGTACTGCAGCTACCTCTCCGTTTATTTTTAACTTTTATTTTTTCACAAATAGGACCATTTCTCGATTTACGCGTGTCATCATCCTTGCACAGGGGCCATGCTAACTACTCTTGTCTGTATCGTTCCAATTTTAACGGATGCCCAGAAGGACACCGCTGCTCTCTCTCTCTCTCTCTCTCTCTCTCTCTCTCTCTCTCTCTCTCTCTCTCTCTC